TTTTGCGATAAGTGATGAAAAATCTGTCTCAATATCATCTCTTATATCTAGTTCAGCTTCTAGATTAGCAGTGTTCATTATTTCTATCTGCGTCTGCAATTCATCAAACTTGGAAAACATTTCTCTCAAACTTTCATATCTTTGATTAAGCATACACAAATCAACCTGCAAGGTCGGCTGCGTTTCTGAGATCTTATTAAATAAATTTTTATATTTAGTAATGCGACCCTTGACGGAACTACGACGAGCGTTGAGTTCTTTTAATGTGCTTACTGTGCTTGCACTGGGGACATCTAGTTTAAGACTCCCGATTGGCGAGATAGATCTCTCAGTGTGAGACATAATGGCAAAGGAATGAGCAATACAAAATTGAAAGCAAACGAGAAAAATAAATAAAATTAAAATAGAATGTTACGTAAATTATGCAATCCGGTCAATGCCCTCAATTAACAATGGGTCAAGGTCAGCGCAGTGTCTCATAAAGTGCAGTCGGCCAGATGCGGGAACGGCCTTGAACACGTACACGTACGGACACACGTAGCGACCTGTGCGACACGAAGCGTTTACTGGAATGCAGAAATTGAACTATTCAACACAAATGTTATGATTTAATGAATGCGTATGATGAATAATTTATTGTTAAATTTTACGCTTGTTATTAAAGAATTATTGAAGTGAAACTTTTTTAGGCACATGGGGGTAAAATTTTTACAGAACGTCACGCAGGTATGCAACGGAAGTGACATCAAACTACTATTGAAATTAAGTAGTTGTCAAATGTCAGTAGTAGTAGTTGTTGTATTTTTCCAACTGGAAAGGCAAATGTATCATACCATACAGCCTAATATTTTATATTTTTTTTGTGAAAAATGTTAATAGGAATTGAAATGAAATGAAAAGAATTTGGAACATTAATCAAATAGCATGAAATTAAATTAGTTAATTCAATTGGCAATATATTAGTCATTTACAATTTAGAAATCTAAATATAATGTGACTGTCAACACTGAGGTTTGAGATTGACATTTGACAGACTTTTGGCGGGAACATATCTTCCTTTTTCCCTTCCTCTAAGTCTTGGAAATCTAAAGTTTTAGATTTGTATAAATATAAGCAAGACTTAAAAATTAGTTCGCCAAAAAAGTTTCACTTCTGACATGTATACTTTGTACGCACGCACTTTTTTTCGAAATGTATTGTAACAGCTCGTTGTACTGCAATCTCAGAGTTAACAAAATGTAATATTATAATTTGTTGTATTTAATGAAGTATTGATTACGAAATGATATTTGACTTTATTAATGTGTAATAATTAAGTTTTGACTAATGTATTTCACTCTTAGTTATTAAGATGGAGGTAGTTTATTAAAGTTTAAAGCACATTAAGCTAACTTTCGTTCGAGTCTAAGGCCTATGGATGAATTAATGGTTGATTTATGATGAGAATAGATATAAATCAGGAACGGACACTTCCCTGCTGTTTGATGTTGATCACGTTGATCACGTCGAGGTCACCAATGTTCCGTGCTGGATGTCTTGTTGTTCTCTTCAATGAAACGATTTGGCTCGTATTTACAGGTCTATTAAAAGATAAAACTGAAGAACAAATAATCATGAAGTGCAATATGAGTATTGTAGATAATGTAATCGTTAAAGATGTATATGCGTTCGCGATCGCTCGATGAAGTGAAGCTCGGTGGTGGGCGAGAATAAAAACTTGTTTGGAGGGGGATTTAGAGATCCTTAACAGTTGGAAATCTGAAGGTGCAAGGTCAGGACTATACGGCGGATGCATTAACACCTCCCAGCCAAACTCTCTTAATTTTTGCTGAGTGGCTAAAGATGTGTGACGTCTAACTGATGTGTGGCGTTATCATGATGAAAAACCACACTCCTTTTGTTGATTAATTCCGGTGGCTTTCTCTCAACTTCTTGCTTTAATCTCATCAGTTGTCCGCTGTAGAGTTTAGAATCGATGGTCCTGCCTGGTGGTAATAGCTCATAATGAATAATGCACTTCCAATCCCACCACACACACACAGCATCACCTTATTGCGAGTTAGCCCGGGTTTCGCCACAGTCTGTGAAGCCTGACCGGTCTTTGACCACGACCTTTTTCGCACGTTCTTGTCGTACGTGATCCACCTTTCATCACCAGTTATCAGCTTCTTCAAAAATGGTTCGGTTTCATTACGTCGTAATAAAGAATCACAAATGAGTACACGGTTCATTAGTTTTCTTTCAGTGAGCTCGTGAGGTACCCAAATATCGAACTTTTTTGTGTACCCAGTTTTTTTCAAATGCAACAAAACTGTTTTGTAGTCAATTCCCAGTTCTTCAACTACGTCGTAACTACTGATATGCCGATTTTGCTCTACTTTTTAAAAAATGGCATCCATTTTATCCGTAATAGGGCGACCAGAGCGACGTGCATCTTTAACATAAAAATTTCCGGATTGAAAATGCTTAAACCAAATTTGTGCTACTCTCACAGACACTGCACTGGGTCCATAAACTTCGCAAATTTTTATCGCGGCTTGCGTTGCATTTTTACGTTTTTTGTAGTAAAATTTTAAAATGTATCGAATTTCTCCACTAGATTCACTCATATTTACAGTTGTTGTAGTCTTAGGGTACCCCGCTGGTACATAGGGCCCTCACAAGTTGTCACCACTTTACCCTGTCTTGCGCTTGCTCCTTGACATCACTCCAGGTCACGTCGGCAGTCCTCATCTCACTCTCCACGGTGCGTCGCCAAGTGTGTACAGGGCGACCAGGTCTTCTCCTGCCAAACGGTTGCCACTCAAACGCGATTGATGCTGCGTTGACTCCGCTGCGCCGCAGAGTGTTCCTATCCAACGCCATTACCGATGGGCAATGTCTTGCGCGTTGGGGTTTTGGTCACATTTATTCATTATATTTATTATTATTATTAAAGGTCTTTATTATATAGATAGTGACTGACCAGAATATGCGGAGTATCTACTAGCGAAGGTACTCCATAGAACGCGTTTACAGGGAAAGTCAAGTTCTCAACCCGCGTCATTATTCATTTTAAAAATATTATTATTGATACATGGAGCGGTGCTCTCTTCTGAAATATACAATTCCTTGATTAAGCGCAGGGCTTGCAAATTACCTGTAACTTTGACAGCTACAAAATACCCATCTATCCAAAACCATCTATGTCAAAAAGTTGCTAAGATCTATATTTATGACGCGGTCATTAGATATTGTAATGAAAATCTAAAACACAAAACGGTTAGGTAAGCTAAACCACTAGTGAAAAAATGGTTGTTAGCATGGAAGGAACTATATGGACACAGATAACTTAATTAAAAGCAAGAAATAGCAGTAGATTTATTACTTTTGTATCTTTTTTTGTTTATTTTTTCTTTCATACTACTTTATTTTAAATTTGTTTATTTCTACGCTCCCCACATACCTATGTGTGTGTATTTGACGTGTTATTTTTATTACTCAAATTTTCTATTATACCTATGTGAAATCTTGTAACGCATGTTTTTGAGTGTAATAATTATTAATACAATAGTGATGTCGCTTTGAGATCGATTATACACATACATAGTAAATCGTATTTTGTTCCTCACGGTACAGGCTGTGCCTAGCGTGAAGATCATTGGTTAATATTGTATTGTTGATGCCATCTGCGTGATCTCTCAATTTGATATATATGTAAATAGTATTACTCTAGGTCAAGAATTTATGAATATTTTATTTAAGAGTTTATGTAGTAAATAAATAAATAAATTATTATTATTATTACTTCAAGACCAAAGAAGTAGTGTAAAAATGAACTGCGACTCAATCAAAGCTATCAAAGCCGATGTCAGAAAAGTCATAACAAATACAAAATAGAGCAATTTAGAAGAACAAAAATGATAAAATTAAACACTAGAACTGGCACCTAACAAATTCTAAAACTAACAGACAGTGACGGCAACACGGGCTGAGAACAGAATTTGAGCGTGGTTCAGAAGTTTAGTGAGACTTGCTACGTCTCTGAATCTAAAGAATTATGGGGGAAACATATATCGAAACAACTCGCCCCATCGGGAATGTTCTCGATAATTGTAGAGTTGTCGTGTCGACTGTAAAAGCGTTGCGGAGATGAGACGAAAGCAATTAGTAATCGGATCTATTCGAAGAGAAACAGCGAACGGATCACCTGAAGCGAAGTGGAAGAAGTGAATTACCAATTGTAAAGTGTTCTGTAAGTGTTCTAAGTGTTAAATAGAGTTTTAATTTGTACTTCGGTGGAAGTTATATTTATCCAGTACCCCAGCGCGTAACAGTGTGTGCTACTTGTAATGTTTTGTGCTAAAGTATAACAAGTTGGACCCAATAAATAAAATAAAAGGAGTATCTTAAGGAAGCGTCAGAATGCCATTTTGATAAAGCGGCGCGACACGATAGCTATCTTATCTTGGGCACCGCTAATTACATGTGCGAGCCAGGCGACGGAGCACAGCAAAACCACCGCGGTCCAAAGCATGCCTTGTCGGATCCTCTACGGATCCACGGTGCTTTTATTTTAAATTCCACTTAATTTTAAAAACACGGCTTTTTGGGAATTCTCGGTTAAATTGCCCATCGCACTACCGTGCTGGCGTAGCTTCTCTAAATGAATGTTATACCAATACGTCTGTTGTATACGCTTATTTCTGCAGCAAAGCAGCTATGCATTCAGTTTGAAGGGTTGGAGCAGCCGTCATACTGTTAGTAGGAGGCTGCCTTCCTCGTTGATGGCTTGGAGCGACTGTAGAGGTCAAAATCGCGCGGCGCGCTATCACCTCGGTACCACTAGCACGCAGCAGAGCTAGAACTTAATAGCAATCGAATAGCGGCATCGCATTCCAACCTCGCAGTTGTTCTAATCCAACGAGGTGTATCTTTATTTCAAACCCTGTATACTCCTGCATTAAGTGCAGTCTCGTGTGGTTCAAGTACGCATTGTATAGTGACACGTTGTTTGGCAGGCTCCCCGTGTCAGCGCGACGGCTACAACGGCACGTGCGTTCTTGCGAAGCACTGCGAGACACTCATCTTGGACTACAAGGAACAGAATTATCCACCGGTAATCATTTGAAGCAACTCATGTCACGCTGCTGCCGGTGGGGCGTGCTGTGAGTTCGCCCGGAAGGGACAACCATCTTGTCTATTTCTGAAGCCTTCTTCTACTTCCGCGAAGCGTACGTTAATGCGTTCTGGCTTGAAGGTCAGAAAGGCCGTTGTGCTGTAATATATATATATGATATATTATTGAAACTCGTTCTCATGTCTGAAAATGTGGCGTTGACGACATTCGTATTATGATATTTGTGAGCTATAGCACTTACAACGTTTCTTTCTTTACAACCATACAGGCCGCGAGCTTGTTCACCCGTCTATACAACAAAAATAATATCATCAAATTAACAGTTTGTTTGATTAGATGAATGGACGACCTCTCGGCCCATCTAGTGTTAAGTGGTTACCGGAGCCCACAGACATCAACAATGTAAATGCCGCCACTTACTTTGAGACATGAGTTATAAGTCTCAGTTTTACAGTACAACGACTGCCCGTTCCTTTGAACCGAAACGCATTACTGCTTCACGGCAGAAAGTACCTACCCGTGCGGACTCACAAGACGCTCTACACCAGTAATAATAATAATTAAAAAAATTATAGACAAATAATAGACCGGATATTACACTAACTCTAAAAGATAGAAAAAATACATACTTAATAGATATTGCAATACCTAATTCTGAAAATATAAGGAAAAAATACAATGAGAAAATACAAAAATATATACCACTAGCAGATGAAATACGACAAATGTGGCATCAACACACCGTTAAAATTATACCCATAATAATTTCATCAACCGGACTCATTCCAAAATCATTACACACATCGCTCTCAGAACTTGATCTTAATAAAATTAAATATTCAGACATCGCTTTACAAAAATCTGTAATAATCGACACCTGTTCCATAGTGCAACGATTCCTTACATCCACTACTCAAACCCCTACAACACTACACAATGAACCAACTCATTTGGCGTAAGTTAGTGCTAGATTCACATTTACCAGCATTAGCTGAGAAAAAATATATCCATAACCCAATGATTGTTAGTAAGTTGTAGTTTAAAATTATAAGGTTACATACTTATAATTAATTAATTATTTAATATTAGTACTACTTATGAGATTTGGACCCCTATTTGGGTAAAGGCCTCCTCCATCCTTTTCCATGACTCCTTGTCCTTGCCTGATTTAATCCAGTCGTTTCCTGCGACGTGTGTTATGTCATCAGCCCATCGTCTTAATTGTCGACCAACATTCCTTTTCCCATTGGTCCTTTCCATCGTGTGGCTTCAATGGTCCATCTTTTGTCTGGGTATCGTGAGATGTGTCCGGCCCATCTCCACTTAAGTGAGAGTGCGTGGCTGAGAGCATCGGTATGCTTAGTTTTTGATGAATGTTTTCATTCTTAATTCTATGTATTCTTCTAATTTTAAACATGCTCCTTTCCATGGCTGTTTGACTACATTTAATTTTTTGTTTTATTTTATTTGTAAATATCCACGTTTGGCAGCCATACAACAAGCAGGGTAGCAGGCATGTATCAAATGTTGCCATTTTCATACGCAAGCTGTAGTTCCCTTTTAGGATTTCTTTTAGTGCCCAGAATTTCTTCCAAGTTGCGTTGATTCTTCTTGTTACTTCTTCTTCGTTGCTTGTCATTTTGAATGAGATTTGCTTCCCTTAGTAGATGTATTCGCTGACGTATTCTATATTGTTACCTTTTATCATTATTGCGCGTTCGTGATTGTTGGTTAATATCTTAGTTTTGCTTACATTCATTTCTAGGCCGATTTTTGAACTTTCGCAGTCCAGTGATCTCATCATTTCCTCTAGGTCTTTGGCAGTTTCAGCAATTATAACATCGTCAGCGAGCCTCAGATGGTTTAGGTAGTGTCCGTTTATGTACACGACTCTTTTTTTCCAGTCTAGTTTTTGAAAAATAGTTTCAAGTACTGCTATGAACAGCTTCGGGGAAAGAGGATCTCCCTGTCTGACTCCTCGTTCTATTTTTATCTCGTCCCCTCTAGTTTCTAATTTAACTCTGCTCGTACTTTTTGTGTAGATATATTTTAAGATATTGATTTATTTATAGTTAATATTTGATTGTCGTAGTGCGTTCCAGATTGAACTGTGACTGATTCTGTCGAAAGCTTTACTGTAGTCAATGAAGGCCACATAGTTTGTATGTGGTCCATTGTGCTAAAGCCTAATCTGAATCCCGCCTGCTCCTTTGGTTGCTGCTTGTCGATGTCGTCGGATATTCTCTTTAAAATTACGGGTGATAATAGTTTATATATGCTCGCCAGCAGGCTTATGAGTCTATAATTTCCTATATCTAAGGGACATCCTTTCTTGAAGAGTAAAATTATGTCTGATGTACACCATTGTTTCGGTACTTTTTCTTCGTCTAGTATCATGTTAAACAATTTCATAAAATGGCGTCTTAAAATAGGTGCTGCTATTTTAAGGGCCTCATTACATAATCCATCTGGTCCGGGACTCTTCTCAGGCTTCAGCTTATTCATTTGTTCGTACACTTCGGAGTCTTCAATTTTTCTGATACAGTCTGTTGAGTTCATGTGAGTTATTTGCGCTTTCGTTTCAGTGTTGTTTTGTTTCCTATATAAGTTTTTATAGAAGTCTGTTGCATGGTTTATTACTCTTTATTATCTATTACTCTTTATCTTTTCTAGGTTTTGTTTCTAGTGAGTTATGTTCGAGTTCTTGAATCCATGACTTATGTGTAGTTAATTTCTTGCTTTATTGGTAGACTTCGTCTCACGAAAGAAGTCTCGCAGACGCGGCGCTGCGAGCATGCGATAAAATGTTACCAGCGTTTGCAATTGAATTCCGAAAAATCCCCTGGTTAGAGGACGGAGTGCTAGTGACAGGTAGTAAATAAAATTGAACAATTCGCTATTTTATGTATACATAACAGAAAGAAAGCATTGTAAATAAAATATACTTTTAATTATATTTTAACTATATTTTAACAACATAATTGTGGTCACTGATCGGGTTTATTCCAGACATACAACAGTCACTACCTGAATCATAGTCCATATTACTTTCGTCATCCGACTCTGTTTCACTATCACTTGCTGTTGATATAATGATCCGGTCCATTTCTTCATCCATCAGTCCATCATTCCTAAAATATTCATCCTCTAAATGCTCCACATGTTTGCACTGAACATACCAATCTTCTGGAGTCACGCTAGTAAACGCTTCTTCCGTCAATTTTAAAATTTTTTTCGAATCCTGATCAACATTTTTCTCAGCCACGCGTCTTTTTACAAGACTCCATATTTTTTCAATTGGATTAAGATCGCAGTGATATGGTGGTAGTCTCAGAATTTCATGGTTGTAGCTTTTTAAAAGTTCATCTACGGCATAAGTTGATTGTCCTTTATTTTGTTTAATTAAATCAAACAATACGGCTTTCGTCCAGGTCAGTTCAAAATTAATATTTTTTTCATGCAACCACTGTTGCATTTCACTTTTGAAATTTGCCATTGTTGGCGCTTTGTTTAACTGTGTGCAGTGGTATGGTGCATTGTCCATAACCACAAGTGACTTTTCAGGCAAATTTGGGATTACCTTTTCAGTTATCCACTTTAGAAAATTACCGGAGTTCATATCGTCATGATAATCTGATGACTTTGACTGGGATTTAAAAATTAATAGAGCATTCTCAACAAAACCATTTTCAGATCCAGCATGAGCAATTATCCACCTACTCCCAACGGACTCAGTAGTGAATAGCCCTGGCACTTCTGCACTTTGCCAACAACTTTTGGCATGATATGTATTATGGATATAGGTTTCATCCAAGAACACCACGGGTCTTTTCTCTACGGTTCGATTTTTTCTCATCTTTTCTATGTATCTAGCGCGCCAAGCAGTTATATCGTACCGTTCCATTAATAGCTTCCTTTTTGACTGGCATCGTTTGTATTTAAAACCAATACTTTGCAGTATTCTATGTAGCGTGGCGCGGCTTCCTTCAAACCCAATGTCTTCTTTTAACACTGCGAGTAATTTATTTAAAGTAGGAAGTTCTTTTTTTACCGTATAAAACTGGTGAATTTTATGGCGAATAGCACATAGATCGAATCCATCCAAATCAATTTTTTTTGCACGTGGGCGACTCTTCCCTGGTGTGACAATCCTTTTCGAAGTACTAGCCGCTACTTTTCCTTCTTGTGTTATCCTCGAAACTGTTTTCTCAGACACACCTGGAATTTTTTTAAAAGATATAAAACAAAATAGGCACTTCAGAATTTTCAATAGTGTTGATAAACTTTAATGAAATGTTTAAATCTTAAACAATAATAAAATACTTTAATCTAACAATAGGTACGAAACTATAAAAAAGTTCCAAATAAAATGGTAAAAATCACATAACTGGTATCCCCAACTAAGTACCTGTCATGACGGCTACTCTCTTACGAACATTGTTTATTGGTATCAAAATCCCCTGATTCTTCTGTTCTGCTTCACAAAACTGCTTCACCTTCAATATTATTTCTCGACCAGCACTTTTTACAACTTTAGGCATCGTAAATAATAGTTTAAATACGACAAATGAATAAAAAACACAATGGAAACGAACACAACAACAACACTTGACAGCACCTGATACCGACAAACATGGCCGACCTATCGATATTAGTTCCATTTACCGCCGTGAGACTTCTTTCGTGAGACGAAGTCTACTTCTAAAATTCTTTATGTTTCTTGAGATAATCTCATATCTGTGGTCGTTGTAGTCCTTACGGATTGACCTATTAGCCTCTTTGTATATTATGCTGAGTTCTTCTTTCATATCTTTGGTTTTATTCTTTTTTGTATGATAGTTCCGTGCGCCTTTTTATAAGCTGTATTGTGTTTTTGGAGAAAATATTATGTTGATGAGCATGTGCNTACTTCTAAAATTCTTTATGTTTCTTGAGATAATCTCATATCTGTGGTCGTTGTAGTCCTTACGGATTGACCT